CTTTCGCCTAAAGGTAAAACTCGTTATTTTTACCCATTTTTTAGCTCGCTTCTCACTCGGTCGTCCGTTATCATCAATGAGTGACATGGATTGAGGCCACGTGCGGCATAATGTGGGATATGTTGGAGTGGGTTCATTATCTGGTTAAGGGTGTTGGGTGGTGGGACGGAAGTATTCATCCCTTTAGTTTTTTTAGGCTTTTTTTTTATTATACTTTTTTTTATTTTTTTTTTTTTTTTTTTTTTTTTTTTTGTTTTTTTTTTTCTTTTTTTTTTTTTTTTTTTTTTTTTTTTTTTATTTTTTTTTTTTTTTTTTTTTTTTTTTATTTTTTTTTTTCTTTTTTTTATTTTTTTTTTTTTTTTTTTTAGTTTTTTTTTTTTTTTTTTTTTTTTTATGTGGGAGCGGGGGTGGGGGGTATAAGAAGTGATCGTATAGTGGTGAATGTTACTTTTTCTCTTCTTGGTGTCTCTTGGTTGAAGAACTCTACTTTTGTTGTCTCGTTGAAGTGCTTCCTGATCGAGTCCTCGCTTCGGCTGCGTCTTCTCTCTATCATGCTCTTCTTCTCTCCTGCTCTCTCTCTCTGCCTCTCTCTGTCTTCTCCTCTGCTTCTTGCTCTCTCTCTCTCTCTCTCCTCTCTCCTCTGCGTCTTCTCTCTGTCTTCTCATCTCTTTTCCTGTCTGCTTTTTTTTTTCTCTCTCGTCTCTCCCATCTCGCCTCTCTCTCTCTCTCGTCGGTCGCTCATCCTCGCTCTCTCTTCTCTCCTCTCTTCTCTACTTTTTTTTTAACTCTTTTGCATTTTATTCTACTTCTTTGCCTCTTCTCTACTATCTCTCCCAAAATGTCGTTTCCCAAACCATTCTTTCTCGGTCTTTCTTTCTTTTCTTTCTTTCGTTCATAAACGAATTGGAATATCTTCATTCCATTGCATTACACATCATGAAAATAGACGGAATTCATTTAAACCGACGATATATCTCTCAAAGCTTACTGATGAAGGAATAATAAATTTAAATCAAAAATTTTGATTTCTAATTTTTAACGTGATCAGTTTTTATTCATATTAAAAAAAAAATAAAATTAGAAATGTCAATATATAATCTTACTCTAAATTACTGATAAAAACTACAAAAACTGATTAATGGTTTAAAGTAAGATTTAAATGTTTTGGATATCTTTGTCAATTAATATAAAAAAAAAATAAGAGATTTATCTTAAAAAGATAATCGTAGATTAATCTGCATAACAACTTTCTACATGGATTGAAGGTTTATAATCCCCCGTCCCCAAAAAAAAAAAAATAAAAAAAAAAAAAAAAAAAGAAAAATTTAGATTTTAAATTAATAAAAAAAAAATTAAAATATCTTATTTATAATAAAAAAAATAATAAAGTTCTCTACTTTCTAACTGATTTAAGAGGTTTAAAAAAATCGGTCCGCGACCCCATCTAAGTCGCCCACGTCCCCGACCGTGCTTTGCTGGCGCCAGAGCTCCGGCCGCCGTGCAACTGGTACTGGCCTTCTCAGGGATCTCGACCATCGTGGCCGCCCTCGAGATCCGACCTGTACCAAAAAAAGATCTCGGAGGCGTCTGCCCTCAGGTTCCCCTGAAAAAACAAAAAAAAAAAAAAAACAAAAAAAAAAAAAAAAAGAAAAAAAAAAAAAAATAGAATTTAAAATTAAGTATCTCTCGAAACTAACCATTTAACTGGATTAAGGCGGTTAAAATTTCCCGCGGAGTAAATCAAAAAATGAAAATAGAATTAAACACAAAATATCATATTCTATTAAAATAAATATAGCTGCTATAAAAAAAAACTACTCTAATTATCTAAACTGTGATAAGTTTAAAAAAATTTTAAAGATTTTCCGCCTCCCGCCCCCGTCCCTCCGAAAAGACAAAAAATTGTTAAAAAAAGTTCCCGAAGAGAAAAAATGTATTTGAGTCCGCCCCTCTGAACCGCGCTCACCTTCATGTCTGTCAGGTCTTCGTTTTCACGCTGCTATACAGAAGACGTCTCATCACACAATCACTAATTCGCCGCCCAGCATGACTCTCTTTTAATTGTTCTCCTACTCTCCTATTCTCGGCAATTTTCTTTCTCTTTTTAAAAAAACGTCCTATTACCTCTCTTCCCCTTCAATTCCCCACCCTCACATTTTAACCTACTCTCGTAATATGGGCCTCCTTCCTTCCTTAAATGAAGCGTTTTGGTATCTGAAACGGACGACTCTGTTACAGATAACTGATCTGATATATCGGAGATGGTCTTCTCTTTCTCTTTTCTCTTTCTTTTCTCTTTCTTCTCTCTCTTCTTCTCTTTTCTCTCGCTGCAGGCACAACCCCTCGTCTCTTCCAGGCGTTTCATCCGCCATACTGATCGTTCTCACCTTTTAATGTAAAGGACCTTATTAGGGGTTGGGTGGGGGGGTGGAGGGGGTTGAAGTGTTATTGGTATATCCGACTCTATGACGAAGTAAGGGGGCTTTTATATCAGATGGAAAAGAGGGTGAGATATTGTTTATCGTTAAATTATCTCTACGTCGTTTTCAATTACTAATATATCCCATAATAACTGGGCTTTATAAATATTAATAAATGTTTTCTTCATATTATATTTCTTTTAGTCATGCCTCTTATCTCGTGCTTTCTATAATTTTATATATATTTTCATCATGCATCTATCATATCATTATTATCATTAAATCATTATATCATCATCATTATCATTAATCATCATTATGCAATTTATAATGCATCATCCTCATTATCATCATCATTATTATCATCACCATCATTATCATCATCGATCATCTCATGCACCTTCGATCATCAATTTAGCATGTTCTTGAATTATTGAACTATCAACCGGGGCTGTTTCGATGGAAGAACAAACTGGTTACATTAGTTTGGTTTATTTAGATATATTAAATACGAAGTATTACTTACGTAGTAGGCGGTCAAGTAAAATAATCTCGGCATCTAACAGTATAATTCGCTGAACTGTAAAAAGAAAAACAATAAATGTGTGTATATAAAAACAGTTTTATATCAAGTTATGCTAGTGATTTTGTGGTATGCGTTTTATCAGATGGGAACACCTATTATGGTTAAGAGGTATCATAATTAAGCGAGGTGGTTATAAAGATGGTGCATTTTAGATCAGGATGCGTTAATATACGAGGTTTTGGTTTATATAACATACAGGTGATATGTATATACTATACATATCTATGTATACAGTATATATATATATATATATATATATAGTATATATATATATGTATGTATGTATGTATGTATGAGTTCTCTTTCTCTTTCTCTCTCTTATCTCTCTCTCTCTCAGGGCCCTTTTTCCCTCTGTCCCTCTCTCCTCTCTCTTCGCCTCTCCCTCTCCTCTCCTCTCGCCTCTCTCTCTGCTCTCATCTCATCGTTCTCTTTCTCTCGAGTTCTCTTCTTCTCTCCTCCTCTCATCTCTTCTCTCATCTCTCTCTCTAATATATATATGATAATATCGTTATATATATATATATATAATATATGTTGTTGTCGTTCGTGTGTGTCGTGTGTGTGTGTGTGTGGTGTGTGTGTGTGTGTGCGTGTGTTGTTGTGGTTATTCTTCTCTGGGCACTTTGCTACATAGAACTTCTTGATTTTCCCAACTATATTTGGGTGTGGCGTTGAGGACTCCTCTCGCTGCCCCTGGAGCTTGATCGAGAAAAGGCCGGTAAGAAACGCTTTAACTTCCTTGCGGACTGTGACTCTTTGCACTACCGGGCTCGTCTTTATTTTCGGTTGACCGTCTTTGGTTTTTGTAAAGAATATAGAAAGATGGTGTGTTTTGGTAAGGGTGGTGAGCGAGGGAGAGAGGGGGAGGGAGAGAGAGGGACGGAGGGAGAGGGAGGGGGGGGAGGAAGTGTGTTTTGGTAACATGATGAGAGAGGGAAGGGAGGGGTAGGGCCGGAGGGAGAGGGAAGGGGAGGGGAAGGATGTGTGTTTTGGTAACGTGGTGAGAGAGGAGAGAGAGGGGAGGGAGGGAGGGACGGAGGGAGAGGGAATGGGTAGGGGAAGGCCATGTGTGTTTTGGGGTACACGGTGGTGAGAGAGAGGAGAGAGAGAGGGAGGGAGAGGGAGGGAGGAAGGATGTGTGCTTTTGTAACCGTGGTGAGAGAGGGAGAGGGGAGAGAGGAGAGGGAGGGAAGAGGTGGAAGGGGAGGGAAGGAATGTGTGTTTTGGGTAAGGTGGTGAGAGAGGGAAGGGGAGGGGAAAGGAATGTGTGTTTTGGTAACGGTGGTGAGAGAGGGAGAGGAGGGAGGGGAGGGAGTAGGAAGAGATGGGAGGGAAGGGAAAGAGATGAGGGTTGAAGGGGGGGGAAAAAAGACAAAAAAAAAAAAAAAAAAAAAAAAAAAAAAAAAAAAAAAAAAAAAAAAAAGGGGGGGGGGGGGGGGGGGGGGGGGGGGGGGGGGGGGGGGGGAAAAAAAAAAAAAAAAAAAAATAACAAAGAAAAAAAAGGGAAAGAAAGTGAGTAGTAGGGGGGGGGGGGGGGGGGGGGGGGGGGGGGGAAATAAATGGGGGGGGGGGGGGGGGGGGATAAAAAAAAAAAAAGAGAAAAAAAAAAAAAAAACGAAAGAAAAAAGCAAAATTGAGAGGGGGGGGGGGGGGGGGGGGGGCGGGGGGGGGGGGGGGGGATCGTGGGGGAGGGGAGGGAGGTAGTAGGAGAGGGAGGGGAAGGGAAGAGAGAGAGAAAGGCGGGAAGGAAAGAGACCGAGATAGTATAGATGGAGACCAAGACAGAGAGAGAGAGAAGCAAGAGAGAGAGAACAGAAAGAGAGAGGAAATAGATAAAACGGGCAAAACATATAAACAAGTGCAAAAATAAATCAATGACAGAGAACGAGAGAACTGCAAATCTCAGCCACTTTACATCTCGCCGACCTTTGACCTCAGTGCCTCTGTATGCTAAAGCCAGCATGATTGACCTGAATGTGGCAGCGTGTATGGGG